CCAGGGATGAAGGCGTATCACTTTGGCCAGGCATTTATTAACTTCCCTATTTCTTAGGTTTCTTATACGTGAAGTGACAAGCTGGATGGATTCTAAATTCTGGAAGGGGGTCATAGTCCAGTAGCTCCTCCAATATCAGTCTTCCTTCCCTTTCTGTAGCAAATCTTAAGGTCCTTTTTAGCTTTAAATTCCCACGATTTTGAAACCTAATGTAATACTATTATTAATAATGGTGGCAGGCTAGGATTAACGGCACACCACAGAGTTTGCTCCAAAGAGACAATAGTGTAGGGTTATGAGATACATGGGAATTGGTTTTTATTTGCTCAGCAGGACATCCCAAGTCTATAGGATAATGGGGTACCTTTTATTTATTTATTTTTGTTTTATTATTATTCTTTTTAGAGAGAGCGTGAGTGGAGGTGGGGAAGGACAGAGGCAGAGGGGGAGAGAGAGAGAGAGAGAATCCTAAGCAGACTCCACACTCAGCACAGAGTCCGATGCAGGGCTTGATCGCACAACCCTGAGATCATGACCTGAGCTGAAATCAAGAATTAGACACTCAACTGACTGAGCCACCGAGGCTCCCTGGATAAGGGGGTGCCTCTTAAAAGAGGATTAGCTGTGTAGGAAATCTAGTAGTGATTCTGCTGAGTTAGAACTACAGCTTCAAAGGTGTCTTCTTGTGTAGTGAAGGATCAGAGCATGGGGATGGGGTGGGGGGGGTAGTTGGGGTTTAGTCTTGAAGGGTAAATGTTAGAAGGGTTGGAGGGGGGAAATGGTATTTTCAGAATGAGAGACACTGACAAATGTGGAAGGGAGAAAACCTGGCACAAGGATTTGTAATTAGTCCTGGGGGGCTGGGGAAGGGGGACCCCTGAGAGAAGTAGCTAAGGATGGAGCTTTCCAAGTAGCTGGGAGTAGGGTCCTTGAGGAACTTCTGTGCCATAGTTTGGAGATCAGATTTTATTCTAAGGGTATGGGAAACCGTAGAGGGCTCTAGCCAGGGGAGGGGTGGTCAAAACAGCAAAATCACTTTTTAGAAAGTTCCTCTTGATAGCAAAGCCAGATATTGGATTGAAAACTGGAGGCAAGAAGCTGATTCCTTCTTTCTTTCCATCCACCTACCCACCCCATCCATCCTTCTATCTATTCACCCCGCAAAGAAGTATTACTGAATGCTGGTTCTGAGAACAAGCTCTATCATCAGATAGGCCTACATTTCAAACCCAGTCTTGCCACTTAACCTACCTGTGTGACTCTGGGTGAGTTACTGAACCTGTCAGTAATTCACTTTTATCACCTGAAAAATAGAACAAATAATAATGTCCATTAATACTTCATCGATTGGCTGGGGAATGAAATAGGATAGTGCGTCATAAATACTTGGCACCAGGCCAGGAACTCATAAACATTCAGAAACTTGTAGCTATTTTTGTTAACAGGTTGAAGGCACAGACTCGGGAGCTTTCACAATACTGGGGACTGCAAAAGCCATGGGGATTGTTAAAAACTTTGACTAGAATGATAACTCGATTCTGTGGACATCTACTGAGCACATAACTTCTTAAAGAGCATCACACTGGGCGGTGTGGGAGGTGCACAGGTGGGTGCCTCCAACAGTGTGCGCCGGGCAGAATATGTTAAATGCTCTAGTCAGCTCAGTAGTGTGGAGACTTTGGAAAGCTTTGTGGAGAAGGTGGGGTTTGAGATGAGTCTTAAAGGCTGAAGAAGACCTCCAGTACGTAGATCCGGGGCGGGGAAGGACCCTTCACACACAAGTAGTGGTAGGTATGGAAGTCTGGAGGCAGGAGGAGGAGAGTGGGTATTAAGAAAACCAGGGTAAGATACATAGAACTATACATGAGAACTCTCAAAAGATTGTATAAGGAGAGATAAAGTATTGGAATACAGGTAAGTGTCAAAATGATTTTTCAGTCGAGAACTTCCAATTCCATTCTGAGGATCTGAGACTTTAATGTGAATGCGGGTGGTGGGGGGGGTGGTGAGCAGAAAGATGCTATCAGGCTTGTATTTAGGAAGACTGAATGCCAGAGGTGTGAATGAGAGGAAAGGGAGATGAAAGAGGCTGCTTAAAGACTATTTTGGGAGAGTCTCAGGAAGGGGCCCTGGGCGGAGGGGAAAGAAGGTTGGGTTAAAGAGCTTTCAGCAAATAGAACTGATGCGATCCAGCGCCTGGCTTACTGTGGGGTGAAATGGAAGGCGTGGATTTGCAGCCTGAGAGACCAGGAATGATAATGCCGTGGAGAAGGGGCAAAAGCGGGAGGGGGTTCAGGACGAAGGACAGCAAGCTGGGCTTTCAGTCCGAGTGGCTTGTGAGACATGGGTTTGGAGGGAGTGTCCCCTCAGCAGCAGATTGCCGGGCTGAAGTGAGCAAGTGTGTTCAGAGCCGGAAGCAGGTAGGGGAGTGAGTCTTCTCCTGCAAGGCACAGTCGAAGCCCTGTGAAGCAGGAGATGGTGGGCAGTGAAGGACTCAGCTTTGGGGAAGGACCACACTTGAGGCGGAGTTAGCAAGAGAGAAGCCAGCATCAGAGGCTGGAAGAGGACTAGAGGAAAGAGGTGTGTGGCATCCGGGAGGGGAGGAGAGATCTTCAGGAACAGCTCAGATGACCAGTAGGCTTAAAAGCACAGAGACTAAAGGGACAGATGACAGTATAAGTTTTTCGACTAACGTTTTGACGGATGTATGGAAAGCCGAAATTGAGGTCTCCTTGGGTGGCATATGTCGGGTCAGCTGATAGGGGGCCACTAAGTGGTGAGGGAATCTCAGGGACATTTTGATCATTGAGTGTGAGATTCATGTGGTTTGGGGCAGTTGGAGTGAGTTTCCTCAGGTTAGAATTTGGGGCTCGCCCCTTACTGAATCCCTCCTCAATGGCCTGTTCTCAGTGGGGATGGAGAGTTTGGAGGAGGATAAAGGGGTCTCCTTTCCATACCTGCACCTGGAATCACCATGTGTCAAGATGTCCCTTATTGAAGGGGAAGACTGGAGCCGAGCTGTGGGTGTGTTGTGCCTGAGACGGGCATGTGCTAGGCGTTGTCCACACCCTGGTGTATCTGTGGGCAAACTCGTTGAGGTTACGGGTAGAGTTCCTAGCTGTTCTTCTAGCAAAGCAGTCCTAGAAGACAGTTTAATCCTTGGAGTACTTGGCCATGGTTTGAAATTGGCCTGAGAGAGAGGCAGCTACCTCAGAAGGGTGAGCTCCTGAGTCTGCCCTTCCAAGGCTTCCAGAGGCTTCCCCCGGAGGCTGTGTCCCACCATCTCCCTGCCACCATTCCAAGGCTCTGTCTGCTTTTCCAGCTGAAGAAAAGGTACAAAATTTCCTCTCTCGAGGGTTTGCATAGTGAATGAGTTGGGGGGTGGTCAGAGGATAAAGATGGTGGGGATGGGGTGAGAACTTGAAAGGTTCTTTTTCTAAATCACAGGTACTGTTAGTATTGTAAGTGAGATCTAAAACTGCAATCTGTTTTAAGGTGAAGCAGAACATCGGGTCTTACCTGACGTGTCTCCACACACCCTCTGGTCACGTTCCTCTCCCTTTTCTCTGGCCTTTGTTTCACATTCCTTCAAAAGTCTGAGCCCCCGCCCTCACCCCCTTCCCGCACTTGCTTGTTCGGGCTCTGGGCTTCCTTCCTTCTCTGCTGAGGATCCCCAGGTGGAAGGTTCTGCTTGAAAGGTGCATGGTTTCCATTGCAAATGAGTCCCATGGGCCATCTGAGGTCAGGGCTTGATCTTCAGGCAAATGACCCTGTTCCCCACCCTGCACGGCACTCCCTTCGGGAAGGCTGGGATGAAGGGGCCCTCACAGCCTTGGATCTGGGCGGCGCCCGACGCCTGACCCTGCTCTCTGACCGTCGTGGAGTGGGTGAGAGGGACCCTGGGCTTCTCATCTCCCCACCCCACCCCTGCCCCTGCGCTTTCTTTGGGTCTGCAGTCTCACCCTCGGCTCGCTTCCCTTCCCATTTCGCCTCTTTCCCACTTAACCTTGTCCTTGTCTTCTCTCGCTCCTTCCTCTCAGAGCAAAGCAGACACTTGTTAGAACTTCACTGCGTTCAGTTTTCCTCCCCTCTTCCTTCATCTTCGGTTCTTCTCTTCCATCCAGAGCTCAAGTTCAATATCCAGCAGTAAATGTTTTTATAGCTTATAAGCCTTGGCGTCTGTGGGTTTGGTACCACGGGACGTAGAAGGTGCTCGTTGGAAATGCAGTTGGGTGGCGGGGACTGTAGAAGGCGAGAACTTCTGCTGTGCTCACCTTCGCCCTGGGCCGGGGTCGCGGGGAGCAGCACGGCTTACAAGGAAATACTCCGGAGTGCGTGAGCTGCAAGTCAGAAGACCCCAGGTTTTGCTTCTAATGCCTCTGCGATCAAGAGGACACCTTGGCGCCTTTCTGCCATGCATAGGACTTCATTTCAAAAATAGGGATTATGGCCCTTGTCATTACTACCTCCGTGGAGGAATGTTTTAAGAACCTAGTGAAATAATATGCATGTGACTGCTTTGAAAAGTAGGATTATTCTTGACCATTTTTATGGGCACATTTCTGCAAAACAAAATGTCAAACTGGATCCGGCCGTGTTTGTGTGAGAGGAGCTCATAGTATTAGATGATCTGATACGTCTTTCAGCTCTTAAATTCTATTTTCCCTAGATGGTTCTTGGCATGTAATAGGGGCTCTGGCAGTATTTGGATGGATGGACAGACAGACGGTCGGACGGCTGGATGAATATCTAAATGTCTAATTGCCCTACTTACCCCTTCTAGTCCCATTTCCCTTTCCCACTGATACCACCGTCCCCTCCTGGCCAGCAGCAGTATTACGGTGCCGTGAGTTGGTAGCCGGGCCCGTTTCTCCCCAGCCCGTAACCCGGGCTCCCCGAGCTGGCTCCTTGGGACCCGGCTTTGGCCTTCCATCCCTGACTGCTTGTCTTTCCTCCTCCTCCCTTCCCACCCCACTCCCTCTCTCCATCTGCCCCTGCAGCACTGCCAGTAACTCAAACCGCAGCACGCCAGCCTGCTCCCCCATCCTCCGGAAACGGTCTCGCTCACCAACCCCGCAGAGCCCGGACGGAGACACCATGGTGGAGAAGGGCTCGGATCACTCCTCCGACAAGTCCCCGTCCACGCCGGAGCAGGGTGTGCAGCGCAGCTGCTCATCACAGTCTGGCCGGAGTGGCGGCAAAAATTCCAAGGTGAGCTGGACCCTGCCGGGGACTCCACTTCCTCGTTAGCCGGCTGCAGGGAAGCCAGTGCTGGGGGAACGGCGGGGTAGAGAGCCCCTTCCTCCAGGGCCCTTGCGTCAGTGCGGCGAGGGTGGGACAGGCAGGGGAGCCCCTAGTTAAGTGTTGCCTTCTCGGCTAAGCCCTCAGAACGCCCCCGGGGAACTCGTTGTGTGATTCCACAGTGACTGTTCTCTCTCTCTGGGCTCAGGAACCTCCTAGACCTTGAGATTTGGAGAAGGGTGCTCTGGGGACCAGGGGGGCTCATCTATCTAGCCCTGCTTCTTTTTTCAAAAATTTGGGGTAGAAGGGGACATTATTTGACAACTACAGGGCCCGGGAGAGAGTCCTCGGGAAGAGAGGTGTTTTTAACCTCCACCCTGACTTTATCTCTCTGCCTTATCTTTGGTAATACCCCACTTGGTACTCATTTGGCCAGCAGGGCGGTGACTGGGCCTCTCCGTTGCTCCCGAGGTGCTGCCTGACGCCTGAGGACCTGGGCCTTTGCCTGAGGAGAGGCATAACAGAAGCCCCAGGGGGGCCCGGGCTGCGGATGGGTCCCCAGAGATTCTCTTCTCCCCTCCTCAGTCCTTTGGGAAGCAGGAGATATTCTTTGCCTAGATGCTCCTTCAAAAAGCTTCTCTTTACTGCTGGACTGCTAGGCCCTGGGGAGGGGAAGGGGCCCCGGGAGGCATGGGAGCTGGCTTGCCACCTGATTTGTCTTTTGATTTCTTGTTCTTCCTCTTCTTCCTCACCATTTCCCAAATACCTCCTTTGCATGCATGGTCTTAGTCTCACAAGCGCCTCTCAAAAGTAAGCCATCTTTTGTCTCTGTCTTTGGTCTCCCCTCCGGTGTTGAATTGTCTGTAGTGCTCCGCACCCCTCCCTCCGCCCCCGCCCACTCTGGCCCATGTCTCGCTTGGTCCCTTTCCCAGAAGGGCCGGCCCCACAGCCCCCTGGCAGGCCGGCGTGAAGTCACTGAGGGACCGTTCCCGTTGCACCCCAAGTCGGAGAACAGACCCGTCCCCCGTCCTCCCCTGTCTCTGCCTGCTCCTGGAACACTGCCTTGGGCTGGGAATCTCTTCCCTTCTTACATGGAGCCATCTAGAAGCAGAGTCCTGCCAGGGCTTACTTTCGTTGCTTTCGGGAAGGGAGGCCCCATCCAGTGGGGCTTCAGGTCCTGATAGCAGCTTGTACCTGCTTTAATGGGTGAGTCCTGATTCCCCGGACAAGATGACTGAGGGTCACAAATGCCCATAGGTGAGTTCCCTGGTGCAGTAGAGTGACCTCAGGAGCTCCACCTGGCACCCTCCTTCCCTCTGCCTGCCCACTGACAACTGCTCAGCCTGAGCACCCCTTGCCGCTTCCACCCACTGCCCAGCCCGGGGGCCAGTGGTGGTCTCCGGACCCTGAATTGTGATCAGAGCGGAACTCTTCTCCCAGAAGGGCACCGTGCTAGCATCTGGCGGTTGGTGGTCGTGGATGGTGGCCCCTCCCGGGCCCCGCAGCAATGCGACCAGGTCAGGGAGGCAGTGCCAGAGTCCGCCCCCTGCCCCCCAAGATTTCAGAGGTCCTAGCAGAACTTGGAGGGAGTACAGTGTGAGCAATAGGTATTTTAGAACAGCAGGGCTCAGGAAATAATCCCCATGGGGGAAAGGAGGTGGGATGTCGCCAGGAGAAGAAAAAGCAGAGGAATGCCTTAATAATAGTCTTGAGCCTCTGTAAGTGTTTTGGGGAGGAGGAGGAGGGCGAACAGCTGTTCTCTTTCCTGAGGGAAGAACAAGAGACTTCAGGGCTAATCCTGGAGTCTGTGACCTTCAGGCTAAAAGCTGCCTCTGAGGACTTGAAGCGGTGGCTGCTTGCTGTAGGGAGGGGAAGAGGAGCTCTCCCTGGCGTGAGCGAGGAGTTCTCTGTGGGGCCAGCACCCCACGCCAGCCCCTCGCCCCTCTGGCCGGGGAGAGCGTGTGTGTTGCCAGACACACGCATCGGGTTGCTCCATCTCTCTGGTTCTGCCCATGGACTTGGCACACTTTTCCATCCTAAGGTGAAGCTGCAGGCTTCTTACCCTCTTACCCCCACGCCTAGCAAGGCGCTCCGTGGGCAGGCAGACCTTGCTGATGGCCCTCAGTCCCCACCTACGGGGTGCCGGCGCCTCTTCAGTCAGATGCTGGGTGGAAGTGAGCACTCGCTAATGAGAATTTTTACACATCTCCTGCTAAACGGCGGGTGTTCTTTGGGAAAGGAGCGTAAAGGCCAGGCTCCTCCCAGGCAGTGTCAAGTCTAGGAAGAGAGTGAAGGCGCATGCCTAGATTGTCCACAAACCGAACCTGTTGGAAGCACATGCGTAGCGGGGGCTGTTACAGGCCGGAGGCCAGGGAACTCCTTTCTGAGTGGGGTGGCAGGGGCGTGTGTCAGGGAGCTGGTGCATGGAGCCAGGCTGGGGCCCTGAGAGGCAAAATAAGGCATAAAGAAGGGACCATGAGCTGAGCATGAATTCAGTTAGCCGTGGTCCCCCGTTCAATAAGGAGTTGATGGGGGAGGGAAGGGGGGGAGGGGTTGGGTTTTAGTTTCCCTTTGAAGAGCTCAGGGGAGGCAAACAGCGTCCGGGAGTCCCCTGGTTTGGAGAGCTGCAGGGGTGAGGCGGGGATACCCCCTCCCTAGTGGACTCTGGTCTCAGGTTGACCAAACACATCCACGGTGAGGGATCTGGTAGCCAGAGCTGTCTCTTCCCAGCCATGCCACCTCCCTCCCTGCCGCCCATCCACCTCACAGAGGAGGACACCTCCTGTGTTTTCCAGGCAAGCTGGAGAGGGCTTCCCATTCTCTCTGGAGCCAGGCGTCCTGCAGCGTCTGCCTTCCTTCCCCGGGGCCTCCATTTCCTCGTGTTAATCTGCAGGGCTCAGGCTAGGGGATCAGTAAGGCCCCATACCTGTGAATCTGTAACTAGACCGCAGAGGCTGACCCTTCCTGGGTGCAGCCCTGCCCAGAGCAGCGAGCTAGAAGACATCGAGCCTTCTTTCCTCTTCCCTAGACCCCTTGAGTTTGTGCCACCACCCAGCTTCCGCTCTGTAGTGCTGGCTTGAGGCCACTAGGCGGAGCCAGTGGCCGCTGCCTGCTCCCAGGAGCGCCTGCTCAAGGTCCGCCCCTGCGGGGGTCCCCCTCCACCCCCGTAGCCCAGGTGAACCCTGGGCTGGGTGGGCTGTGTCATCCCGGCTCACTGGCTTTGCTGCTCCTTTCCACTTGACTTTTTCCTTGTCTTTCAATCCTAATTTTTACGGTTTTCTTTCCAGTATGACAGACTTAACCTGATCAAAGTAAGAAGTCTCTCTTATTTCCTACCTCCTCTGGATAGAGCTCCTCTCTCCCCCTCCTCTGGTCCCCCCCCAGCCCCCATCCTCCCCACTCCAGGAGGCTTGGCACTGGGGAGATGTTTTTAGGGAAGGTGGGTCTGTCTCCAGGGGCCTTGCGTTCCTTTAGTGGTTGTTCTTGAGACCCCTTCTAGGAGGTAATAGAAGTGTGCTCCACTCAGCTCCCTGTCCTCAGCAGCTCTGTCTTTGAGTCCTTTTCCTGACTCCCTCCTCCCCTTTTTAGCCAAATCTATTCATAACCTGTCAGAAAAGCCTTCACCCCCCCCCCACCGCCTAGTTCTGTTTTCCCCGTGCTTCTGGCCCCCTCTGCAAAGGAGGGGCACTTCAGGGACTCTGCAAGGGCAGACAGCCTAACTCGTGCCTCTGCTCTCCTGTCACCGAGGTCTGTAAGCCCCACCTGGTTTCCCTGCCTCTATGAGCTGGGGACTCAGCCCTGGGAGAGTGGAACTACGAGGGTGAAATTTGCCTCCAGGAGGCTGGTCAGAGTTCAGAGACCCCTACCCACAGTGGGTACTTTCAGGAGCTACTGTGGATCAGGATGGTGGGGGACATTTTCCAAAGGGGTACCCCCAGTGGTGGCAGATGATAAGCTGCCTAGAGATGGCTGGTTGGGGTAGAGTCTCACACTGAGGGAGAAGACAGAAGTCCTCGCTCTTGATGGTACATTTCACATTTCAGTACTTGGGAACACAAATTCTTATCCCCTCCCTTTACAGAAGAGCAAATATCACACACACAGATGTCACACAGAGATGGGACACAGGTTCCGTGGCCAAGGCTCTTGGTCACTCTGAAGCCCTTTGTTCTGAACAGATTCAGAAGAGACACATATCTGTGTGGCAGTACAGGAAGAAAATCTACCTCTTCTCTGTACCTCAGGCAGGAGTGAGAATACCTCATAGGAGTAATCATAAAGGATCTTGGGTTCCCGTACCCATCCTAGGTTCGTTCCTGTTGCCCCCTTCCCTCCTAGGGTCTTCCGTGAAGGCCAGGACAGTGGGGGTAAGGAGCTGGGGGGGAGGGCAGGCGACAGAGCATTTTCTCAGCTATGAAGCAGGTGTGGGAGGCTTTGGGTTGATAAAGTGCCGGGAGCTGGGCGGCCCTCAAGGCTGACAGCGCCTAGGGGGTTCCTCTGCACTGCTGGGAGATGGGATTCAGGGAATGTCTGCACAGCCTCATGCCCTGTGATCTCAGAGGCAGGCCCCAGGAGCGAAGACCTCCTGAGGTGTAGATCAGGTCAGATGCAGCCTCTGCCCCATCCCCTCTCCCCCCGGGTCCGGGTGGCCTTTGCCAAATGTTTGCAGGCTAGTTTTCGGATCCAGGTCCAGGATTCCCATGTGACAGTAGCTCCCTCAACAGTGAAATAGTTGGGTTTTAAGTATTCAGATGTGGCCCCTTTACCTCCTGAGACTTCTGGATCAGAGGAGAAGGTAAGGTCGTGGTTCGAGTATGTGGCTTGCAGATGGGCCATAGTGACAGCCTTTGTTGGGAAATGACCATGGAGAGCATCTAGAGAGTTCTTCCAGTGGAGTGGGAGAGCGGGCGAAGGGGGAGATCACATGACCACGCTATTGTCACCCGCCCTCCACTCCCACCAGACACGCTCCCAGTGGACATTCTGAGACTGTGACCCTTCTTTCCCTTATGAGTCAGGGCCTCTTAGACGAGGCGGGGGGATAAAGGTTGCCAGTTGGCCCAGAATCCACACCTCTGTGTATAGTTGTTGACATGCAGGCAGTTTCCCCTATATAGCGATCCTTTGCTGCAGTTATACCTTTGGCAAGTTTCTTACAACCGAAAATACCTCATCTCCAATTTAAAATTGTTGGATCAGCACCTCAAGGGATGGGGCCCAGACAACGTGTGTGTGTGTGTGTGTGTGTGTGTACACATGCACGTGCGTGTTCCTGTCTGCCTGTCTTTCAAGTGGGGTGTGCATAAAAGACTCCTGGCCATAGAGGTTGGAGGTAGACAAAGCACAATTTCGGCCATCCCTCTCAGTTGCCATGAAAACGAGTCACCTTTGCCCAGGGCCGGGAATGGAGAGCACCTGAATTCTGGAGCTGGCACGGAGTCTTGACTTTGTTGGTAACAGAATTACAGCACCATGAAGCTGGGAGGCACTCTTAGCAATGATGTGTTTCACCTTCCTCCCAGGGCAGAACCCCCAGTACTCCCCTGCCTTTATCACCTCGGTCATCAGCCAGTGGTTGAGCAGGAGGAGAAACGGACTCCTCTGCTCCCCGAGAACATAGTTGGAGGAGGTGTCCAGGCAGCTCCTTTTCTTCCTTTACCCCACGGGTCCCCTCTTGCCTTCCGCAGAGGGGCTGACTTGGGGCGGAAGGCTGGGTTGGTCTCTATCTGCACTTTGCTTCTGGTCAGGGTCCATCTGGGGACTGGGTCTTGGATGCCTGTAGCGCATCCTTTCCCCCCATCAGAACCTCGTGATGGGGCTCCCGACTCCCTTCCAGCTGAGCTCTTGGCTGGTGCTGCCGCTGCCTGCCGTCCCGACCTTGGTGAGGCTTCCAGCATGGACCTGCCCTGGGCCTCCTTTCTGGAGCTGTCTTGAGAAAGGAGGGCCCCTCTTGAGCAGCCACATGGGAAGCATTCAGCTGCATTGGGTTTCCTACTCCCTGCCCGTCCTCTGCTAGATGTCTGTGTAACCTTCCCTCAGGAGCCGGGCATACCCCGGCCATTCCCACCATCTCTTCCCTGACTAATGGTACCTTCTCTTATTTTGTCCTTTCAGAAAAGCCAGAGTTGGTATAATGTAAGTATCCCTGTTTTTCTTCTTGTTGGGTAGTGGGTGGGGGATGGGAGTGGTCGGGGAATGGAGAAGGCACCGAGTGCAGTTTGGCTGCCCCAGGGGCTTGAGCCAGTTGAGGGGCCCCTGGCCAGCCCCCGCCCTCAAACTCACTGGTTGTTCTCTGCAGCAGGACAGGACTGCTGGTGAAGGAGGAGTTGATTCAGGGAGACCAAGGCGGGCCGGCCCTCCTTATCCTCCCCTAGACTCCTGGACAGGGCTCCTCCAGCCCCAGTGGAGGGGGCTGGCTGGGGGAGGCATCCAGAGACCAGACAGAATTCTGGGACTGGGTCAGCCCCGGGGCCTGAACTTAGGACCAAACTTTCCTTCCTTTAGCTGACACATTTTGGGGGCAATGCAGCCAGAAGACGTTTCCTCGTTAGTACATCCGCTGCTCTTGGGTCTGTGGTGAAGGTGTAGCCTGGGGTCGTCCATGGTGGTGGCTCAGCCAGCTGCTTCATAGCCAGAAATTGTGTTGTGGACTAAGCAGTCCCGTCCAAGACCACAACCCCCATCACACAGACTGGGCTGCAGCGTTTTGAACCTTTCCCCTAGAGGGCAGCTGACTGAAGTCTCAGCCAGCCGCCGCCACATTGTACTCTGCCCTCTGGGACTGCACCACGGAGGGCCTGGCCTCAGGTCCCCATCGTTCTGCCCCGAGCCTGCTTTTCCCCACACTTGCGTCTGCTTGATCATGCAGGTACCACCTCTCCACCTCCCCTGGCACCGGGCTGTGCTCCAGCAGGTTTCACGGGCATACGGAAAGTGGGGGAGAAGGTGGCTGTGAGTGACAGAGGCTGTGGACACGGGGGTGGGGAGGGGAGGCTTGCATTTAATGTAGGGACTTGGGTCCAAATCGTGTGTCCGTGCGGGGTGAGGTAGAGGGATATTTTCTTTTGCACGCGGCTCAGGGATGCCCCAAAGCCAAGCACATGCCAGTCAGCCCCGTGGCTTCTGACCTCTTGCTGCTCAGCGGGCCTGCCCTCTCCCTGGGGAGCTCTGCCCACCTAGCCTGGCACACACGAGGCAGAGGTTGGAGGGCCGCGCTGACGGACGCGAGCTGTGGGCTGAGGTGGCCTGGGTCGGGGAGAGGCCAGACGACACCGCCTCATTCCCCAGCCCTTCCCCTTGGACCCACCATGGTCTTCAGCCCCCACGCTGCTTAGAGCTCACATCCTGGAGGCGACAGAAGCTGCTTCTGTGAGGGAGGAGAGTGGGGGCCGCTTTCCTGGGAGCCATGTGGGGCCTCCAGCATCCCTCGCCTGACAAAACCTCCACCGCTCTCAGTGGTATTGCAAAATGAGTGCCCCCAGAGGGAACAGGAAGCAGGTGGCTGCAGACATGTCAGACCATTGAAACATCCAAATTTGGACATCCAAATCCCCCCCCACCCCACCCCACCAGCCTCTCTTCTCTTGCTCGCTCTCTTTCTTTTAATCAGGCTCTTCTGTTCAAGCTCAATTCCCCTTTCCTCGACTCCTTCCCTACCCTTTCGTCTCTGGTTCCTCCTCCTCTGTCTGATTTCCATTCTCTGGCTGGCTCTCCCTCTCTGCCACCAGCCAGCAGGTTCTCCTTCCCCTCCCTGGCTTCCGCATTCTGTCAACTCAGGGCCTCTGTCTGCCCCGCACATCACAGAGTGAGGGATGGGAATGGATGCCGGCCAACTCGGGGGTCCCAGAGACAGATAACATGGCAGAGGAGCTGGGAGCCCCGCTTCCTGCCCGATGCCCTGCAGCTGGAGACCTGGAGACCCTCCCTGACTGCACGTCGCCTTCTATAATGGGCCTCCACATAGTCAGCTCCCAGGCCTTCCTGGGACTCACAGATGGTCAGTGTCTCCTCCGGCCTCCTACCCCCGCAGCCCGAATGAACTGCAGAAACGTGACGGACTCTCCACTCGGCACAAATCATTAACTTACAGAGAGGCCTAGTGCACAAGGGACTTGGCTGAGCAGCGTTTCGCGGCCCCCCGACTGCCGCCCCCGCGCCCCAGGACGCACGCTCTCGCTCTGGAGCCAGACACCAGGGGGCCCATCCAGAAATGTCCTCTTGTGGCTCCCTTTTCCTCAGCTTTGTTTCCACGTTGCCAGGCAGATGTGGCTCCTTGTCCGCCTTCCGTCTGCCCGGGTCCTGCTCCGCTTCCTCTGTGGAGGCCTGACGCAGGCAGGGACAAGTTGCAGGATGGAGTGCTGTGGAGGAGGGACAGGGAAAAGGTAGGGAGACCTGGGAGGCCAGAGGTGACAGGGGACCTCCAGCGGGCCTGAGCTGTAGGTGTCAGGGGCTGTGTCTAGTTTCTCTTTGCACTTTGTCTTCATGTGTTTTCACATCGGGAGGGAAATCAGCAGCTGGTGTAGCGGGTAGAGCCCTAGAAAGGCTGGCTTCAGGTAACCCATGCCTCGTCCTCCCGTGAAAACCCTGCTCTCCTCCTGAGGCTGAGACAAAAGCCCTGGCCCTGGGCTTGCTGGCTTCTGGGTGGGTGTCTGGAGGAAGCAAGGGGCTGCCTGTTCCACACAACAAGCGTCACCCCCATCTCTGCCCACTTGGATGGTCCCCGTGGGCTTATCCATGGCGCGGACCTAAGTGTGGCTTCTTCCCCTAGGCACCGTTGACCTGCCCCAATCAGGAAGCTACCACCTGGGTGTTTCCCCAGAGCCACGTGAATGGATGCCCACGTGGGGTGCCCCCATGCGCCCAGCGCGTGTACCCTTGGGTGGCTGGACACCGCCCTGCTGTGCATCATATATGTGTCCATGTTCTGGTGTGCAGAGGCCCCATCGGGAAACTTCCGTCCAAACCCCCCACCTGGCTCCCCAGCACTGCCCACCAATAATACATCCATGGTTTTCCAGAAGGCACATACCTTGCCTCTGTGTTGCCCTGTCTCCCCTCCTCAGCGCTGCTGATGGCCCTCTTTGACACTCGGGGTGGTGCTTCAGCTGGGCTGGAACATCCTTGTGTGGATGGGCAAAGGCTTTGTCATCCCGGCTCTAGGGACAGTCACACAGGCCCTGGTCAGGTTCCGGACTGGGTGTCCTCATGGAGCTGCTGACTATTGAGAGAACATCTCAGGTTGTTGGAGTAGCTTGGGTCTGATGGCAGGGAAGCCCACCCAGCCCCTCCCCGCCCACTCCCCTGCCTCTCTTCCACATTTTTTTTTTTTGGTCTGATATTTGTATTTATTTTTCTTGCCAGAATAACAAAAAACATAGTGATAATGAACAGACTTCTGTAATTTCCTGGGGCGAGATTCCACTAGTGTACTTTTAAATATGGTGTTTGTGATACATATTTATTTACTTATTTTTAAATTTTTTATTTAAATTCAATTTAATTAACATACAGTGTATTATTAATTTCAGAGGTAGAGTTCGTTGATTCATCAGTTGCATATCACACCCAGTGCTCATTCCATCACGTGCCCTCCTTAATGTCCATCACCCAGTTACCCCATCCCCCTCCCGACCTCGCCTCCAGCAACCGTTTGTTTCCTAGAGTTAAGGTTTGCCTCCCTCTCTGATTTTGTTTTGTTTTAGTTTTTTTTCCCTTCCCCTATGTTCATCTGCTTTTTTCTTAAAGTCCACATATGAGTGAAATCATATGGCATTTGTCTTTCTCTGATTGACTTATTTCACTTAGCATAATACTCTCTAGTTCCATCCACTTCGTTGCAGATGGCAAGGTTTCATCTTTTTGATGGCTGAGTAATATGCCATTGTACATAACTACCACATCTTCTTCATTCATCTGTCGATGGACATCTGGGCTCTTTCTGTATTTTGGCTATTGTGGACACTGCTGCTATAAACAGTGGGGTGCAGGTGCCCCTTCAAATCACTGTGTTTGTATCCTTTGGATAAATACCCAGTAGTGCAGTTGCTGGGTCATAGGGTAGCTCTATTTTTAACTTTCTGAGGAACCTCCATACTGTTTTCCACAGTGGCTGCACCAGCTTGCATTCCCACCAACAGTGCAAGAGGGTTCTGCTTTCTCTGAATCCTCGCCAACATTTTCACCCATCCAACCAGGGAGGAGATGTCACCATGATGGCAGGCCACTTTGGCCTGAAAAGTGCAGCCCGTGGAGGGAAGTGGCTAGACTCCAGGGACACCTGGAGGGGCTGAGGCATGAGGGCTTCTGGTCTCTAGCCAGGGATATGATCTGCAGGTCAGGAGTGGGGTTTGAAGGCAGCGTAGTCTACAAATGCCTTAAGGCCTTCCCATGCCCGATCTAAGCCCCCTTACCCTTGCTCCCCCTCCCCCAACTTACTTGATGATCCCAGCTTTATTCATCAAGGCCCCCAGCTTGGGAGGCGCAGCCCTAGTAGACATGAAATGGTGGGATAAGAAGACAGGGCTATAGTTACAGCAGGGAGCCAAGGGCAAAATTGGGCGTGGGAGGGGTGTATTCTGTTCCCCAAAGATGGCCCCTGTTGGGTGCAGTAGGTTTGCATCTGGGATGAAGCAGTCACTGGTCTTCTGCTTGGTGCCTCACCTTGTGTGGGCACAGGTAACTGTCCTCATCTGCTTCACCCCTTCCTGGGGGGGGGTCAGTCATCCCGGCGACCCAGAGAAGCATCTTGTCTGAGGTCATAGGTTAGGAGCCTAGGCCCTGGTGGCTGGGAGAGACTTAGCACCTAAGCTCCTCCTCGATGCCCCGGGATGGGGATGCTGGCTTTTTTGGATGGGGAGGAGGGGATCGTGCCAATCCTGTGGGATGACCAAGCAGGTCTGGCAGGCATGAGATGGAGAGCAAGAGAACAAAGCTTTGTGGGCATGAAACTGGGACATTAGGGGGACGATATAGAAAGTGGAGGTTCGGAGACAAGACTTGCTGCCTACAGCCTTGGCAGCCTGTTCTTTCCAGGGAGGCTGCCTGTGCTTCTGTCAGCTCTGCCTGTCTCCTCGTTCTTACTTACGCGTTGTCCTGGAAGAGTCTTCCTGACTTCGGCTCCCCTGGCCCCCCCATCC